TATATACATAATATGATCCATTTTTAAAAGACTCTTTTATTAATGACTGACCTCTCCCTCTCTCTTCAATACAGAGTATTCCTGTACTCCCTCAGGATTATAGGCAGGAGGGACAGGAGGAGGAGTATCATCATCTTGATTGAGTGTTGAATAAAGTGGACCAGCTCCTTGTCGTTGTTGTTGTTGTTGTTTATTCTTCTTCTATTATACATTATTGTTATTGTATGTCTGGTATTTTGTTTATTGTTTATCTACCCACCTCTCCCTCTCTCCTCAGTTCAGAGTATTCCTGTCCTCCATTAGGATTATAGGCTGGTACTGGTGGAGGAACTTCATCATCATCACTAGCTCTAAGAACACTGTACTGACCTAGTGAATATTGTATTAATAATAATATAATAATATAATATATAATTACTGAGTCTATACTTAATACTGATCACTATAGAGCATGTACTTAAACACATTGCCTATCATGTCCTCTTGTCTATCATGTGCTAGTTGATTGTATCTTACAGTCAAACATATGATACCCTGTGTAGGCTGTTGTCAGCTTATTGTGTGTTACATGTACAGTACATATGGTTGATGTTATGACAGGTAGAGGAAGGTAAATGTTATCTTAGCTAATGTACACTAAATGATGACTGGATGTAAGTATGTGCTGGGTATATGGTGTATGTGGATTGATTTATTTATTGTATTAAAGTGATGTGTGTACTAATGTCATTGTGTAGTGTATGCAACACTTTTCTTAAGTAACCTGTAATACAATAGAAATAAACTGTATCTGTACTTGATACACTAAAACTATGAACTGCTAGTTTAACATGTATTTATACATGCTTTTTGTCTAAAAATTGGCTCCAAAATCACTTCTACATTTTTACTACATTCTCTGATACATGTCCTTGTGCTATATAGAAAGTTTGAGCTGATTTTGACTAAAACTTTTTGAGTTATGACCATTTAAAAATGATCCAGAATACATAAGAATTGCTTACCAGTTGGAGGTGGTGGTGGATAAGAAGGTGGTCCATCTCCTCCTTGTAGTGTCCTTACAGTAGAAGCAGCTGCTGGAGTATATTCAGTGGTAGGAGTAGCATAAGTAGGATCAGTAGGTTGTAACTAATGAATGAAACACAACAGCATATAATGACTGGGATCAGTCTACAGTAGTTATATAATGAATGATGGGGTCAGTCTACAGTAGTTATATACTGAATGATGGGGTCAGTCTACAGTAGTTAGTTATATACTGGAGGATGAGAACCGGAAGAAGGATGAGTTCTATCCTTCAGTCATTAATAAACAAGGATCATATTATTATTAATTTACTTCAATATTATTGTTTCTGTATGAGCTACCAGTCACTCCTTTAGACTGTGAAGGATATTAGTAAAGGTTACTTTATAATAGTGTGTATTTGTATTACCTGGTTTTCATTACCATTTGCTGTATATCTGTTATGATAAGAGAAGGATAATTATTGTTAGTATAAGCTTCACTTAACCTTTCTTTGTTCTTTAATCCTATATAAATAAGAGTCAACTAATTACTAACTTATGATAGGCTTACTGTGTCTTTTAGCATATACCAGTATTATTATTAATATAATAATAATTATTATTATAATAACAAATACTGTTCCAATAGCTCCTGATATAATAGGAACAGTACTAGAACCAGTAGCAATACTGATAGTACTGGAAGGTATCATAGTTGATGATGTCACCATTGATGTACTAGTATCTCCAGTAATACTGATAGTAGAAGTACCATCAGTAGTAGTGAGTGTTGATAAACTTGTTACTGTATTAGTATGTAATGATGAGTCAGTACTGGAAGATGATACTATAACTATTTATCATCATTAATATTAAACCATTGATTATAACCTACCTGAAGTAGATGGTACATATATTACTGATGTACTGATACTAATATCAGTAATTAATGTAACTAATAATATACAATATTTAATGTAT